AAATTTTAAAATCTTGAAGAGGACGTGAGAGGTGAAAACAGGGTCCTTTGTCATTGTGGGATAAAAAAAATAATTGTCCATTAAATGGGGTATGTTGTAAAGAATGGATCATGTATTATGCCGAGGTAGAAAATGACAGTGGCGGTGCAAAAAAATACATTGGCTTCACTGAGAACCAGTTTAAAAAGAAGTGGTATAACTGTTGAAACTAGAATAAAACATGGAATAATAATAATACAACACAAAATGTACTTAAACAAAATGTATTGACACAAGAACGTGTACACAATATTTACAGATAGTTTGGTATATTCTTGGGAAGACCGTTCCTGTAGAATGTGTTGACTTAGTCGCAGTCGAGCAGAGTCTCTGGATTGGATCTCTTCTTCCTCCCCCCCGTCTTCCCGGTACCAACCATATTTATATGGTCGGTACTCCACTATGTAAATTAGGTGGATCGTACCACAACAATAACCATACCTCATCATTTAGAATACCAGAAGGCAAGTTCAATACGAAGCTAGCAAACCACTATATTAGCTTTAGGGTAAAAATAACAGAAGCCTGGCCATTAAATGGAGTATTTTACTGAATGTAAAGGCTAGCAAAGAGAACGGCGACTCGTGTAGGCTGTGTCAGGAGGAGAAGCTAGCTACTGCAACATACAAAGCTGGCACTGAGTTGTTTAATGGGAGGTCTGAAATCATGGCCAAATGTAAACACGTCAGGAAGTTAACTTTCGGGATATACGAACCTAGATAAAGTAGAAAAAAATGTTTCTCCCTACCTTTCACTTTATTTTTATTTTATTTTCTTATCTTTTTCCTTCTCTCCTTCATTTATTCCACAACAATTACACTCATTACTTCCGGTGTCGAATGAAGGCATTTAAGTTCTGATGTTGCCTCTGACTGATACGCTGAACAAACCACCTGACGAGACCTTGGCGCTCGAAACCGCGGTAGTGTTCCGGTCAGCGTTTTTATTTTTTTAAGATATATATATATATATTACTCTTCAAGTACAAATTGAGTTCTCGGGGCCGCTGGCGCATTTCGTATAGAAAAACGTTAAAATATTCTCCGCTGTGCAACGATGGCCCAGGGGTAGAATATGTGATTGATGTCAAATCGGTCGGGTTTCGATCACGGCTTTGAAGTAATCGGATGTCTAACTACAATAAAAAGCTGCGAAACAGTCTGTCTGTGAATGACATTATATATATATATATATATATATATATATTGTTATTCAATATATATATATATATATATATATAGTGTCGTATATATATGCGTTTAGTGCCATTCACTATATATATATATATATATATAATGAATGACATTATATATATATTATATATATATATATATATGTATATATATATATCATATATATGTACAAATGTATGTATGATTATTTTCTTTTCTTTTCATCACATCATATTCTAACCACAGCCCGTTTTTCTTGAAGAACTTGGTCCGACAATTTTTGCTAAAACTTGCGACACACAAGACGTCTCCCCACTCTCCAACCTATGACTCTTCATCTCTGTTTACAATCTCACTCCTTCAACAATACACACTAGTACCACTAGACTTGCCTAACGCTTTTACACCGATCAAAATTTTAGATTTAAGTTTATTTTCATAAAAACGTTCCGCACGTTTTGAAAGCAGAGATCGGGTTTTTGCTAACAACACAATTTCTACTGGAAAATACCCCGTCTACAAAAACATCTGTCGGTGAGTAATTACCATTTTTCTGTTTATTCGCCGGTCCGTTGATGAAGGACACAGGTCTGTCCGAAAATACCTTTCTTTCCGTGCTTTGTTTCTGTCATATGGTTAATAATTAATATTTAATAAATGTCTATCGTACTTATTATATTGGTACCCTTTCGTTTGTCCTTGTTTTACACAATCAAATAATGAAGAGAACATCTATGAAATTTCAAAAACCCTTAAAATCATGCCACCTGGTAGACCCATAATATCAAGCATTGGTACCCTCACAGAACTTATATCTGGGTACATAGACAATATCCTAAAACCTTTATTGCCTGAAATACCTAGTTATATTAGAGACACTACTGACTTTCTCAACAAATTACAAAACATTAACTTAGTCCACCATGATACAATCCTAGTAACGATGGATGTTTCGTCCCTTTACACGAACATTCCACATGTTGAAGGAGTATCAGCTTGCTATGAGTTCCTTAGTAACAAAAAATTACCTAACTACCAAATTACAGATATATGCCAATTAATAAATTTCATTTTAACACATAATAATTTTAAATTCAACAACAAACACTATTTACAGATTAGTGGCACAGCAATGGACACAAAAATGGCACCTAGTTATGCTAATATCTTTATGCACATTCTAGAAAAGAAGATACTAGACAATTCAGAATATAAACCATCACATTACTTTAGATATATTGATGACATTTTCTTACTATGGACTCATGGATCAGAAAAATAAAAAACCTTTTCACTTTCTGCAACAATTTCCACGATACAATTAAATTTACCATGGAGCACTCCATACACATCCATCCCTTTCTTAGACGTTATGATAAAATTAAACAAACATACACTTTCTACCAGTCTATACAACAAACCCACAAACCAACATAAATTCCTGCACTTTAACAGCTGTTATCTCTTTAAATTAAAAAAAATCTATTGTATACAGCTCATTTCTAAGAATCAAACGCATATGCTCAGACCATTTAGATTTTCTATACAATATTAGTAACTTAACAAAACAATTCCTAAAATAAAAATACCCAATAAAAATAATAAAAGAAACACTACATAAAACTATCCTGATAAATCGCAACACACTTCTCACATACAAGAAAAATAAAAACAACAATCGGATTCCCATGGTTTTTAACCACAATCAATATTCCACACACTTATTCACAATTTATAAAAGGATTACAAGAACCTCCAGTTAGACAAAAGATCAAAAGACATTTTCGATAAACCACCCATAAATGCAAAGAAACAATCACCTAACCTATCAGCTATCCTCACCTCTACCAAATATCTAAACAATACAAACCAATCAGGAAATTACAAATGTAACAAACATCGTTGCTTAGTTCGCAAACATTTAATAATAGATAATATATTTTCTGTACCCAACACCAATATCAAGATACACCCACCTAACCTCACCTGCGATACCCATAACATAATCTATTATTTATTCTGCACCTCATGTCCTAATAGTGGATATATTGGTGAATCTGGAAATAATTTTAGATTTCGTTTCAATAATCATAAACAAACCATACGTCAAAACAATCCTTATTCCCCCATAGCTAAACACTTTAATCCATCAGGACACTCATTTGAAAACTGCAAATGTTTATTGATAGATTCCGAATTTTAGTTCCACATACACACGCAGAAAAAAAGAAACATATTGGATTTTAAAATTAAATACACATAAACTAGGGTTAAATAAAGACTTAGGTATCTTAAATCTTTATAAACATTTCAATAGTTAAGCATTTTTTTTAGATATAGTTAATTTTTTTTTTTTTAAACAACATCTAAAATATTTATTACAGTTAGATTTAAGTTAGGAATATCCGAATAGTGACGTTCCATATCACGTGACGTTCTTGTCTCACGACGGACGCTACTTGCTAACAAATAGTAATTTTAATTTATTTGTAACAAACAGTTATTTCTGATGAAAGATTGAGGACAATCTGAAATATCAAATATATATATAAATAAATAAATACTTTCATAAAATAAAACATTATTTTTTTTAATTTGCAACTTTTTCTATATATATATATATGAATAGAAAATATGGCACATAGAGTGATAATAAAATTGTGCTCAATGTATAATAAAAGAGCTATAATTTATATTAATAATGAAAATACATTTTTTCTCAGAGTTTTCAATCAGCATCAGGCGATTCAGTTCTGTACCATGCATGGTACACGCTTAGGCGATCATGTATCTTTCGATACATGACTGACGAGGCAGATTTTTTTCCCGCAGTAGTTTGCCATTTCTTTCTACGGTAGACCAGTTGCCATCGAAGGCTATAGAATCCGGTCTGTACAGCTATTTACCCATAGCTGGAGGAGAAGAAAGGGATCGATACATTTTCCAGCACGTAAGTGAATGTAATGGTAGGCACAGTAGAGTAATGGATAGTGGATCGGATTGAGGAATCGGAGGGACGATTTCGAATTCCAGTCAAATCCATTACATTCACTTACGTGCTAATACCCTTGGGAAAGCCATGAATCCTCTTCTTCCCCCCACCCCCAGACCAGACTAGGTTCTATAGCCTTCGATGGCAACTGATCTACCGCAGAAAGAAATGGCAATCTACTGCTGAAAAAAATTTGCCTCGTCAGTTATGTATCGAATGATACATGATTGTCTAAGCTTGTATCACGCATGACACAGAACTGACTGATTGATATGGCGATTGTGTTGAAACTACCAATGAGGGGAAAAATGTATATTTATTATAAATAAATTTATTATAAATATATTTCTCTCTTTCTCTGTGTATCCATAGCTGATTATCTACTCCGTTTAATTCAGTTGGGTCTGAACTTCACTCGGTATACAGTTATACCGAGTGAAGTTATATATAAACGTTTGCATTGGTGTGTGTGTGTACGTGTGATTGTGTATGATTGAAGTTATCAACCTTTTGTAGGTTACTTAAAGCTGAAACATATTTTTGCATTGTAAGAATATTTCTTTCTTTTTTTTTTTTGGCAAGGGTATCTTGTATTAAAATTCTCCTGGAGATAATAATAATTTTCAAACATAAGTCCTACTATTTAACTCATATATGGAGGAGAAAAGGTAGATTCACACCTTTCCCAAGGGTATTTGCGCGTGAGTGAATATAACAAACCCGACTGGAATTCGAACTGGGCTTACCGATTTCCAAATCTGAGCCGTTATCCATTACCTCACCCAGACATCCAAACT